CTTTATACTAATTGTTGCATTACCATTTTTATGATATATAAAAACTGGCCATCCTCCATTTTTTTCAGTCAATATTTAATCCAGAAAATCTTCTCTTAAGTACAATCTGTCTAACTGTCTATATATATAAAAGCTCAGCACCCAGAACAGCAGAACAACCAGAATGATCAGAATGACTAGACCCTGATCCATTTTCTCCCCCTGGCCTGGCCACTGATCCACCCCTAACACCCCAATCAGGGGTGGGGACTGCTGGTCAACCTCCCTTGGCCTCTCCCCGCTTCTGCCCAGCCTGATGGGCCCCCATTAGGGTGGGCCGACTAGGCTCTATCCATGCATTAATTCATACATCAGGCCTCTCGTCTGTTAAATAAAATCTTCAGTTATAAGTGTCTTTGGACAAACCAATCCAAATATTTATCTCTACCTAAATGTAGGAAAACATGTTTAATCTTTAGAGGTCCCTCTTTCACTCAAAAATTTTTTTTTGAACATGAAACAATTCCACCTACATTTCTCAGAGAGAAAGATATCTGTAATACATACAGAAAGTAAAATAAGCAATTATAAAATATCTTCCTTTGGATATTTCACAGCTATTAACGTGTTCTGCTCAGATAAAAATTGAACAGATGATGCTCCCCTTTTAACTGTCACATTTTAGAAATTATACTTAATTTCTTTTATAATACAGCAAAGCTGAGAAGGTAGTCTAAGAAAACAAAAATTATGTTTTACAATATTTCTGAAATTTTCCTAATATTAAAATACTTTTCTTACATTTTTTGCAACAAAAGCAAGGAGTCAGGTCACACGTTTAAGGGGCCAATTTTCTAAAAGCTGTGTGGTCCAATAAGATGTTGAGGCTGCCAGGTTTTTATTGATTTCAAAATGATCTGGTTTGGGAGTTCAAGTAAAACCTCAAAAGACATAAAGTACAGAAAATATAGAGTCACAATTTCCTTTCGGCTGTGGGGTTTCTGTGGGGTCCAGGGAAGGAAGCTTCTTTTTCCATTTCCCTTCCCAGCACTCGCTCTCAGTGTTACTTTCTGTGATCAATGTGGCAGCTCCGATCTTGGCTCCACTTGTAAGGCATTTTCCTCCTGCCTCCTCTCCCATTGCCTTTGTTTCTTTTTGCCTGTGGTGGAGTCATTAAATTCAGGAAACACTTACACTGGACTCCAACCATAAACCTTACAGAAAGAAGTATTGAAGGATTCCCATCCTGTTACCCAAATGTGGGTTTGGCGTTTACAAAGAAATATTTCAAGAAGACTAACACAATCCTGCATGTTCACTTTCCAGCCCCAAATAGAGTGTGCTCTGCTGTGATCAACACATCTTTATACTTTTTACAACCAAACAGGCTTTAAGATTATAAAAATGAGATTTCCTAAAAAAAAAAGTGCTGATAGAGTTGAATTTTATTAGAATGAGTAACTATTCTTGAATATAGAAATAAACATGAGAAAAATAAAAATTTTTTTCTAAAAATTACTATTTTTGAAATTGGTTTAGTGTATAAGGTAAGAAATAATGTTTTTAGGATAAAATTACATGTTCTATTTATTCAAATGCAGAAAGGGGGCAGAGAGAGAAAGAGAGAGAGAGAAAGAGAGAGAGAGAGAGAGAGAAAGAGAGAGAGAGAGAGAGAGAAAGAGAGAGAGAGAGAGAGAGAGGTAGGTTAAGTAATAGATTGGAAAATTATTTTCCTCTTAAATATCCTCTTAAACATCCAGACATTACAAAAAGTTGGGCATTTTCATAGCAAGGATTATGATAACTTATCTATATTAATAAAAGGGTAATATGCTAATTAGACTGGACGTCTTCTGTACATCCTTCCAGACAAAGCTGTAGTGGCTGCAAAGGCTGAAAGCCGGCAGCACAGGAGAGGCAGTGGCATGGGAGAGGCGGAGATGCAGGCAGATCCAGTGCTGTGGCCCCTTCTGCAGAGGCAGCAGAAAAAGGGGGCTGTGTGGTCCTGATCTCAGTGCTTCCCTTTCAGCAGAGGCAGCCACCGGGGCAGTGGCACAGGCCAGATCCCGGCACCATCCCTCCACAGAGGCTGGACCAGGTGTGTCTTGCTGTGCCTCAACCTCCGAAAGTCCCTCCCCCAGCCAGCCTGGCCCCAGATCGTCCCCCACCCACCAGTGGCGGGGGGTTAGTACTAAGAAGTGAGGGCCAAGGGCTGACAGCCTTGGTGTCCAGCAGTGGGATGATGGGGGCGGTGCCTTCCCCTGATTGTCCCTGCCTCCTCCTGGAGAGGCCCACTGCGGCTTAGGCGCACTCCAACTGGGGAGTGGCCCTAAGCTGTCAGTAACTCCCCTGAGAGCTCCTGGACTGTGAGAAGGGGCAGGCAGGGCCAATGACCCCACCACCAGTGCACAAATTTTCGTACACCAGGCCTCTAGTCTTTAGCATAAGACTGACTGATTTTGAATCTTCTTCTACCACTTATGTGACATTGAAAAAGACTTTAAACCTATCTGTGACTCAATTCCTTTTCAATAAAAAGAGAATAAACAGGAAAGGGAGGTTGAGGACATGTCAAAGAGGGTAAAAATAAATGGTGATGAAAAAAGATTAGACTTTGGGTAGTGAACTCACAATACAATACACAAATGATGTATTATAGAATTGTACACATGAAACCTGTATTATTAACTGCTGTAACCTCAATAAATTAAATATATTTGTATGTAGTTTATCAATTCTAAAATAAAAATAAAGTGATGATTAAATGAGTTAATATATATTAAAATTTAGAACAAGGGTCAGCAACATTTTAGATAAAATAACAGGCACTAAATATTTTAGGCTTTGCCTTCTCTGCCCTACAGTCTTTGTTTTTTATTGTTTCTTATTTTCTTATAACCATTTAAAAATGTAAGAAATATTGTTAGTTCACTAAGGCCCACACAAAAAACACAGGCCACTGCTTAGAAAAGTGCCTTTCACTTACTAAGGGTTATATATGTGCAAGTTATTATTATTATCATATTATTAAAGCTCAATTCTTAGCTGAGTGGTTGGAAGAATTAGGCATTCATTAAGTGCTTTTGTGAGAATTTATAAATAAATAACAATTTTCAAATACATTTTCCATTACTGAATTTTACAGACTGAATGTTGGAATCTCCCAGAAATATATATGTTCAGGCCGTCACACTTAATGTGATGGCACTCTGAGGAGAGGTCTTTGGAGGTAATCAGATTCAGAGGAAGTCCTGAGTGTGAGGTCCTCCTGATGGGATTAGTGGCCTTGCAAAGAGACCAGAGAGCGTGCTCTCTCTAACTGCCATGTGAGGGCACAGAGAGAAGAGAGCAGTCTGCGAATCACGAGGACAGTTCTCACTAGGAGCTAAATCTGCTGTCTCTTTGATATGGGACTTACCAGCCTCCAGAATGGTGAGAAATTAATGTTTGCTGTTTAAGCCAACCAGTCTATGATATTTTATTATAGCAGCCTGTCCAGACTAAGATTCTGAGTTCATGAAATATGGAGCTACTGATATTTTTCATTTTTCTTTGCTTTTTTCATTTATGAAATTTTATGTCAAAATTTAAGAAATTCCTCAAAAATGTCTTAGTTGCTATGAAAATATTTGAAATTAACATACTTATTTTCTTTATAAATATGGGCTCTATACCTTGTTAACTGCTGATATTCTTTAACATAGTGACTGTTGGAATATAATATAGCCACAATCCTGAATAATTTTATGTACAGGCTTAGAAACACCTCTGTGGTATAGTTGCATTATCATTTCGGTTGACTTTAGAATTTCAGGGAATGGAATATCACTGTTATTTCTATTTAGTAAAAATGGTCATTAATTTCATGAAAATGAAAATCTCTAAAAGAATTCAGGTGAAAGTAATGACTAATTTGCTCACACCACACTCACATTTAGAACTCACAATAATTTTTGGTAAGATTAATATCCTCTCCTAAAAACGTATTACCCATATAACTTAGTGCCATTAAACTAGCCATGTGTTTGAAGGAAACATAAACATGTTAGAATACTATTTGTTAGCATGCTGATTTCTATAATACTTGGTTCTTACATACATTTACCTCAGGGTCATTACCATGTGCATTTACATGCCTGTGAGGTGCCTGAGAAGACCCAATGACATGCAAAGGCAAACTTACATTTTTAGCAGTTACATCTTTAGGGTCTTGCAAGAGATATATGTGTGTGTGTGTGTGTGTGTGTGTGTGTGTGTGTGTGTGTGTGTAAGAAATGGTACCTACATGAATAGAAAGATATTATTACTTTTCTCCATATTCATTGTGTCTATATTAGGATTTAAATAGGATTTATTATTTGAAAAATTTTGGGAAATAGGCTTCAGTACTGAGACCATCTTATTAAAATACCACCTGCAGCCTTCCACTCGGTGAACAAGGCAAGAGGAAGCCAGAGGAGGAAAGAGCAATACACTTCTTAGAGAGAAGCAGTTATTGGATCCAACAATATGAAATGCATAAATGTGTGGTTATCTCTCTATACAGTTTCTTCACTCTAAAAATAATAGCCCTGCAACCTTAGAAATACTTATTCTGAACACTTGCTTTTTTTCATCAATGAATGATTTTACAGAGTAAAATATCAAAAATCATATTAAGATTACATTCACTTTCTATGTTGTTCCTGTTACATAAAATATATCATTCCAAAAAGTCAAGGTTTTTATATAATAGACTTGGTTCTCCAGTAGAGTGAACTTTTCATGAAAATCCTGGATATAATTGAGTTTTCTTTCATGTATTTAAAGCATTTTAAAATTCATGAAATTTTCTTATCATTTTTGCAGCAAAGCAAAAATATTTCCAAATCCTTTTTGAGTTCTGTGTTTAATATTGGCCCATTTAAAATGTTACTGAGATAAATGGAGTGGAATAAATCTTACATAAAAAATAATATGATTTTTGATGCATTTTAATGTTACAAATACATCAGTCATTCCTAATAAATTTGTCCTGTTACCTGTCACAGAGCTATCCAGATTGTCCATACTGGATCCAGGCGTCTGCTCTAGCACTCTCAGGGGCCTGGGGATTTCTAAAGCTTCCTCCTCGTCATCAGCATCATCATCTGGAACATCTGTTTCCAAATCAGAAATCAAGGCTCCGGACATGTAACCTAATGGTGGAACCGGAGGCTGTGGAGGTTGATTATTGCTTTGAATGTGCCTAGAATTTAAATGGGGGCAAAATAAACTTGTTAGCATTCCACAAAATTATAATTAGAATTAAACGGCATGCTATGGAAACTAACTTTCTCTTCTTGTTTCCTTTGACTAATTTTGAAGGTCACACTCCTTTCTTACATTTCAGCGGAGGCAATGGGCTACATATATGTAACTTGCCAACACAACAACAATCTAGATTATAATACCCTTCAGTTGGTATTTATAGGATGATCCACAGAGAAAAAGAATACAAATTCAGCATTATTTAGTATAAATAAATCTTCCAAAGGAGAATAGGCATATTTGTCACAAATACTAGTAACTATTTAAAGCTGACTGTAGCTCTAGCAAGTTTGGCTCAGTGTATAGAGCATCAGCCTGCAGACTCAAGGGTCCCAGGTTCTGGTCAAGGATGCGGGCCCAGCATCCAGTAGGGGGCATACAGGAGGAAGCCAATCAATGATTCTCTCTTATCATTGATATTCTTTCTCTTCCTCTCTGAAATCAATAAAAATATATTAAAAAACAATAAAACTTACTGTATTTTGGTCCAAAAAGAATATGATCATTTTGTTCCAGGTTAGTGTCAGAATTTGACTCAACCTGTGTAACCTATGTGACCTGCTGGCCTTTAGGAAGAAGAGATGTCACATAAAGGTCTTGTACCAACGCCCTGGTCCCCAACCCTGAGAACTTTCTTCCTGCATGACCCCCAAATCAGGGTGTTTTCACTTTAAACTAGTTAGAGGAGGAATGACCACCTTGTGTTCTAGCTATTTATTGGTGCATCAGTCCCACCCAACAAAGTCTTAAGCACCTAAAAGCAGAAGAGACTCCTCTCAGCGCTGAGTTTAGGCCCTCAGGTATGCTCAATAATTTCTATGAATGAATCAGTGGTTGGCAAACTCACTGGTCAACAGAGCCAAATATCAACAGTACAATGATTGAAATTTCTTTTGAGAGCTGAAAACTGACTTCTGTGCATGGGCCACGAAGTATCAATAGCGCTGTATGTGCCCGCCCACACATGCACATGGTATTTTGTGAAAGAGTCACACTCAAAAGGCCAAAGAGCCTCATGTGGCTCGGGAGCCACAGTTTGCCGACCACTGGAATAAATGAATACCTTTAATCTCAATTTTGAGAAGCAGATAGAACTCTCTTTTCTAAATTATTATAGCGAAGTCCAATTAAATGACTTGTTTCAAATCACATGATTGATAAAATGTAGAGCTGGATGCTGGGGTCAAGTTGGTTCACTTTTTGAGTATTTAAGAGTTTCTTCTAAACCAGGGGTGCAGAACACCCAGCCCATTGGGTTGTATAAGGCCTTTGAAATCATTGGGTCTGGCCCTGCCAAATCATTAGGGGTGAGTCAATTAAATGATGGATCAAATATAGCAGGCTAATTTTTAAGTTGATATATTTCTATGTCCCGCTATTGCCTTTATAAAATTCCAAATGGCTCTTGGCAGGAAAAGGGTTCCCTATCCCTGTAAACTATAAAATGCTAAATGAACTCACTCTGCATTTGTCATTAAAGAGTGAATATCCTGCATGCTTGGACACTGTCTTTTTTTTTATACAAAGTATTTAAAAGACTTCTGCTATATAAGGATATATAAAACAAGTGCTATGCATTTTTGCTGTTAGTTTTTTTATTTAAAGATATAAGATAATTTTATTTAATATTTGCATTTTGAGGGAAATATTTCATTGCTTAATATTCCTTTTAAAACTGCATTCTTAAATTTGTAGCCAACTCTAATGTTAACAAGATTGTAGATCTTTCAGTTAAAGCAAACCTAATATGTTAGCTCTGGAAGCCACCTGAATATTATGAGGCCCATATCTTTAATTTAACAGACCATGTGAGGTTCCCACTTTATTGTTTGGAATTCATAACAAAGCCTTCTTTGAAAAGTCAGGTGGTGCTGAAACCTGTTTGGTTCAGTGGATAGAGCATCAGCCTGCAGACTGAAGGGTCCCGAGTTTGATTCTGGTCAGGGGCATGTACCTTGGTTGCGGGTTCATCCCCAATAAGGGGTGTGCAGGAGGCAGCTGATTGATGTTTCTCTCTCATCAATGTTTCTAGCTCTCTATCCCTCTCTCTACCTCTCTGTAAAAAAAATCAATAAAATATATTTTTTAAAAAAAAGCCAGGTGGATCCCTAACTATTTATACAATAAGTCTTGAGTGTGGATGGCTACCTCTTCCTGGAAGTGTGAATCAAGGAGGAAGTGAGCCCCGTCAGGAGCAAGTGGATGTATACACAACTCATTCTCCTCTAAGGGCCGACACTCGGCTCCTGGGGAGGACCAGACATGCCAACACATTCATCCTGCATCACTGCTGACACCTCTTGATGGGACAGAGCTACATTAAGGGGTGAAAAATGTACTCTGAGTTTGGCAGAATTAGGAGTTGCACTGAAATGCAGAAAGAAGGTACACCCATTTATAAATATCTCCTTGTGGCAGGCACTCTGCTGAGCAGTTCAGGGGTCAATGTGAACAGAATCCCTGGAGTTTAGGCCTGGGAGTGACTATTTTGTAAATGTTTTTCCTGTGATGTTGATGTGCAGCCCAGACGAGAGGCATTTCCATTCCAGAAGGTCAAGGTCTCATGCCCTTGCGTGTCATCTCCCTGCAAGGGCATTCTGGGATTGTTGGATAGAAGAGAAACACTGAGAAAGCAGGGTCTGCTCTGTGGGTACTTGTAGCAGGTCGAGGCGAACTTTTTTGTTCACTCATTTAGGAAATGTCTGTGGAGCATGAGCTAAGTGGACCTTCTCTAAGCCTAGAAGACAGCAGTGAACAATTCAGGTGGAAAGCCAAGCCCACCTGAATAATAGCAGCTGTAATATAGCTAGTTTCTTTACCAGAACTACGCAAGTGCAAACTCATTTAATTCCTACATGCATTAATTCCTATGATGCATTGTAATAAGTTTATCCTTACCTAAAGAGAAGTCAGGCCTTTGTCCTGTGCTCCAGAATGTTCTGTCTGATAAAAATGTCTTTGGTGGTTATTGTTTTTTTTCTTGGAGGCCTCTAGCTCCTCCAGAAAGTCTAACATTGAGACTTATGGTGGGATCCTTGAGTCACAAGGTATCAGTTTGCCTTCTGGAAGGGCTGGAGATCGAGGCCAGCCATGCAGGTAGTCAGCCATGTCTGTCTGACAGACCCGATAAAGACTCTGAACCTCAGGGATCAAGTGAGCTTCTTTGGTGGGCAATGCTCCTTGCAAACCGCTGGACATTGCCACTGGGAGAGGACAGCTGGGCTTCTGTCTGTGGATCTGTCCTCCACTCTGCCCCATGCATCTCTTTTCTTGCCTGACTTTAATCTGCACCTTTTCACAATAATACACTGGAACTGGGTGTAACAGCTTCCTATGAGTTTTGTGGGGATTCTAGTGAACTGAAGCACAGAAACGTTAAACATGCTGCCCAGTGTCACGTAACTCGTAAGTAGTGGCCGTGGTGGTGGTCCCAACCTGGCTGCCCCCAGGCAAATAACCTCACCAAGCCATTAGAACTCCAGAGGAGAGCCTGGTGGATCAACAGAGTTTAAGGCTGTCCAGGTGATTTCCAAATTCAGTCATATTTAGAACCCTGAGCTGGAATCTGTGCTAAGCAACTAAATTGCACAGCTTCATAAGTTAACTTGAAGGAAATTTTCTGGCTTCAACTTAAAAAAAAAATGGTATTTTATAAAGCAGTCCAAAGTAATATAACACTTTAAAGGTAGATTGTTTTAAAATTTGGGGGGAAAAAAATCTGATAATTGTGAAAAAAAAAGTTCAAGGATCTCTAAGAAAATACCTTATGTTTGTAAAAAGCTTTAAGTGATACTCCTGGTTTTAGTGAATCTTTGTGTGTTTAGTTGTATTTCAAAAAAAGTTCATTAACACTGTGAATAAGATTTATCTTATTATCTACTTATTTCAGTAGTCTGAACTATGAAAAAGAAGCAAATAACCTGTCATAAAAATTTACTCTAATTTCAAGCACATGGTCTAAATTAACTGAAGATAATAAAATGTATATTATTAAGATATAATTTTAAAATCCAGGAGAAGAGAGGGCAAATGAGAACAATAACTGCACAAAATAATGAGAATTGGTCCCACTTGTATTCCTGTCATATTTTCACAGGGCATCTAAGTAGATTTCCATTTATATCTTAGGCAAGTTTATAGATTCATTAGAAAGAAAACAATTTTGGATTTGTAATTATTCTGTGTTTTTTTTTTATGCACTTACTGTTACTAATATTGTAATTTTTCTATCTCGTTTAATTAATCCCAAAGAAGGTCTTTTAATAACTGACACTGACCATATTTGATTTGCAAAAGCTTACATTTATATATTCACAACCACAGACAAAATTAATTATAGGCACTTTAAAGAATCTAAAAGGAGTCTTTTATTATGGTATTGGAAGTGAGCTTTAAGGATAAGCTAATTGAATTTAAACTATAACTTAGAAAAGACTCTGGTGTAGAGAAAAGCACCTTCACCTGAAATTCAACACATCTAACTTCTTGCTCTGATTCACTCTAACTAGTTATGAAACTTTGGTCAAATTACCTAACATTTCCACAGTCTATTTCCTTATCTAGATGATTGAAAAGTTGTACAAAAGCATTTCTAACCCCAGCAGTATAGTTCCATGAAAACCTCTTGTGAATTTAGTATGAAATAACATTTCCTCTCTCCATGTTTTGAAAGCTCAGGTCCCCCTGACCTACTGAAGATATTTACCATGTTTGCTTTGCTATGTCAAACTGATAGGCCCTTGTCAGCTCATCCAGGTGAGCTTGCAGCATGGGTTGCATCTCTTCCCGTGGGGATGGAGTGAGCGTTGCTGTGGACTGCTGTCCAAAGGAAATAGCAGGAGATGAAGCCACCCCTCGGACAGGAGGTGTTGGGACACGATCATCGTCCTCTTCCAGTTCATCTTCCAGGCCCTGGTGCAAGTATGTTTGTACTGGTAATGGCGGGCACCAACTATCACTGTCATAGCTGAAATTAAAAGAGAAAAAAAGCACATTTGCGCACACACAATTATTCTGGCAATAAGCAACAACCATAATGTCAACAATAGTATTTGAACTGTTCTCTCAGTTTATTTCCGCCTGCTTTCAGGTTATCAATGCTACCATAGTAAATCACTTGGCTGTTGTCTTAATTTCTAATCATAATTACTTCTATTACCTACATATCTCAATTTATTCTTAAAGGATCTTATTACCAAGGGTAACTAAAGGCAATAACTTTTCAACAAAGTTACTCATTTGGAAAAAACAAATTGCTAATCAAAGACAATTAATTAGTTTAGCGTTTGTAGATTTAACTATTTCTGTTCATCCTCATGTACGAAGAGAATACGCCAATATTGATTATCTGAGACGTGCTTGAGAAATGTATTTACTTTTATTCTAGATCTATCCCAACCTTTCATTACATGTGACATGTTAATCATTAAGACACTATGCTACAAAACTATTCAATACCCCTCTGACTCTTTTAAGTCTCTCAGGGTGTATTTGCAGAAACTCATATTTTGACATTTAAAAACTATAAAACAGAAATCTAATTCTATCAAATGTATATTTTTAAACAATAACATTTTTTGAAATAGCATGTTTTTGAGAAATCTGGCTAGGAAATATAGAAAATTAATTCTAAAAGTTTTTCTTGCGACACAAAACCAGTAGTATATCTATTTACACTTCCTTTGTAGTACTATTATTTTCATAAATCAAATAGATCATAATGTATTTTTAAAAGAGATATAAACATAAGATAAGCAATACTAGATGTAATTTTCCTATGAATTCAACTTTTTAAATACTTTCCAAATCTTTCTCTCACACTTGACTACTATTTCCACGTCACAGATCAGTCTTCTTTATATGTGAACTGTCCCATTGGTTTTCCTAGTCTCTTGAGACATCATATTTATGTGTTCTGTACTGTCTTCCATACAGGCAAACAGATTATGTTTCTAAAACCTTATTCACATCACACCTATACTTCAATTATTCAGTGATTATTGCTAATATGAGAAAAAAATTCAAACTCATTAGCAGGACATTAAAAATTTCTCCAGTTGATCAACCTATCTTTATAGTTTATTTCCACAACATCAGCTTATGCTGCACCTTTTTAAAGTATAATGACTATGCTCAAATCATTGGGCTGTAACCTCCAGGTGCTTCTTCAAAGTTCAATTCAAGTGCTGTTAGTTTTGTGAAGCTTCCTTGGCTCCATCAAATGGAGTGGATCATAACTCCCTAATATTTTGTGGCATTCTCCATGTCATATTGAGATTATTTGTTTCATATATATTTTTTTCACCAAGATTCTGTGAGATCTTTAAACTAAAGAACTCTAATTCTCAACTATGCATTTCCAGCACTAAGTATAATAAATAGCATATGAGCAGTTTTCATTAAAGAACCGGAAGAAAGGATGAATACTATAAATGTATATATCTAGTTTTTATCTCTCTTATAAACGCTAACTTAAAAATGTCCAGATGATTCTAGAATATTTTTACTTGAATGTCTTTTCACTTATTCTGTTTAAAACTCAACTCACAAAAAGCAAAAACACCTGCATATAGGTTTTTGTAGCAGCCTTATTCATCGTCATGTATATTACTAAGTGAAAGAAGAAATTCTGAACAGGCTACATACTATGATTCCAACCATATCACTCATTCCGGAAAAAGCAGTACTGTGGAAACAGCAAGAAGTTCAGTGGAAGCCAAAACCAGTTTGGCTCAGTGGATAGAGTTGTTGGCCTGCAGACTGAGGGGTCCAGGGTTTGATTCTGGTCAAGGGCATGTACCCTGGTTGCAGGCACATCCCCAATAGGGGGTGTGCAAGAGGCAGCTGGTTGATGTTTCTCTTTCATCTATATTTCTAACTATCCCTCTCTCTTCCTCTCTGTAAAAAAAATCAATAATATATATGGAAGAAGTTCAGTGGCAGCCAGAAGTTAAGGGGAAGCAGAGATGAACAGAAGAGCACAGGATTTTTAGGACAGTGAAACTACTCTGTATAGCACCATAATAATGAATAGATCTCATTATACATTTGTTCAAAACCATCGAATAAGCAACACCAAGAGCCATGGACTTTGGGTGATTATGATGTGTCAAGGTAGGTTCATCACTTTTAAAAAGGTTCCACTTTGGTGGGAGATGTTGATGGTAGCAGAGGTTATGCATGGGAGTCAGAGCAGGCAGTATATGGTAAAATCTGTGCTTTTTGTTCAATTTACCGTTAATCTAAAACTGATCTAAAAAAAATAGAGTCTATTAAAAACAGCAACACCTGGATTTATCATCCTTTCATTCAACAATCAAGTGTCAGGAGACAGGATTTTTTCACAGAACATGAATCTAATGGGCAGACCAATATTAAGCAAATAATCAACAATATCAAATACTGTAGGAACAGAGAACAGGGAGGCTAGAACTAGTCCTAAGGTTGGGCAAGGATCTGCTGACCACTGGAAAGAGGGTATTCTAAGTACCACATGTGATGGTCTGGAGAAAGAGAAAAGATAAAATATTTGGAAAACTCAATAGTTCTCTGACTGGCAAGAGCTGTTCAGAATTCATACTCTGAACACCAAAAAGGCTACTGGTTCAATTCCTTCTCAGGGCATTTGCCTGAGGGGCAGGTATGATCTTGGTAGTGGTGTATATAGGAGGCAACCAGTGAATGATACTTCCATTGATGTTTCTCTCTCTTCCCCTTACTCTCTCTCTGTAATAACTACAAATACATCTTTGGGTGAGAAGAAGGTTGGCCTCAGAGGAGCAGGAGAAGGGAGGGAGGACAGCCAGGTCACAGAGGGCCTCATCAGCTAAGACAAGGAGTGTGAAATTCTGCCTGTGAGTGATGGATAGTTACTGAGAGGTCTGTTACATGGATGATCTTCTCTTTGGCTGTTCAATTTTCCTCTCTTGTTAAAGCTACCTAAATAATCTTCTATCTCAATGTGTTGTAACCTGAAGACCTTTTTCAGAAGCCCTGATTGGAATATCTGTTTAGAAATATCATCTATAATTTATTATAAGCAAGCACACTTTAATATGTTACTAAAACTTTTTCATGCACTAGGAAATACCATTGGTTAAAGTTGTATTGACATTAATTGTCTACATAAATACCAACCTGTCTGAGGAATGCTATTGCTCTAAAACAATGTCATTTCTCCTGTTTTATATGTTGGAAATCAGTTAGATTTCATTTGAGAAAATATCCTGTTGATTAAAAAGTCTCTAACGCACTGTTGCTTTCCATTACTACTGAGGGCACGTGGGCTATTTCCAATGCTGGCTCCTGCTCACACATATCCAATCTACTATATCCTCCCTCTGCTGGAGCTCAATGTGATTGTCTGCATATTAATTTTTTTGTGTTGGCCCTTTAAGAGGATGCTTGCATTTCCAATTGTCTCTGGTTGATAGACAGCTACCCTGTTTCTTTTCACATACAGATGTTATGTGGGCAGCTTTCTCAGTATTGGTGCCCAAGGATATGTTTAGGAAGGGAGAGACAGAGAGAAACATTGATGTGAAAGAGAAACATCAATTAGTCTATTGCCACCCACATGAGACCTGACTGGGAATGTAAACCAAAACCTTTGATGTACTGACGACTCTCCAACCAACTGAGCCACCTGATCAGGGCTGGTTAAGATACTTTTCCTAATGTATTTATTTGGCTTTAAATGCTATATTAGTAAGTCAAACAGAAATATGTATAGTAAATCTAATTTTAAGTGAAGCTATCCCTTTTCAGTATGGAATGTGTGTGCTGTTATACTTCATGACTAGTTATAATTAAATTAACTTCATTCTGTTTTACAGAATAGCACAACTTTTCCATAAACTTATTTCCTGTACTTTGTTTGCTTACATTAGTTGATTTCTAGGGGTATCCTACATTTGAAAAAAGAAAGAATATCTTTGAAGATGTTTATATAATATTTAATCTTTCAAATGGAGGAGGTCAATTACCTCTTAAAATTTTCCTACTTTATAAGTAGCAAACTATCTTTATTCCCAATAATCTAAAGGGACCATACAAGTGAAATAAAAATGCATAGAAAATATAAGAGAAGAAAGAAGGAGTGTCACATGCTTTTAGTGTAATTAGTTGTCCTCATTTTTATTCAAATACACACACATACACACATTGCACAATATATTACATGTCTGAAAACCATTTCAATAGCTATCTCATTGAACTAGAATGGTGTTTTTCATCAATTGTTCTAAGTCTTTTCTACAAAGGTCATCTAGAATAGAAGGAGCAAACTCTGTCCACTGCAGAACATAAGCAGAGCTGAGGAAAGCCCATGGATTCATGTCAGTCAATGTTTTGTGCAAGAAGTAGAAAATAGAGATAGAAAGAATAAGTAAGCCGAAACCGGTTTGGCTCAATGGATAGAGCGTCGGCTTGGGGACTAAAAGGTCCCAGGTTTGATTCCGATCAAGGGCATGTATCGATACCTTGGTTGCGGGGATATCCCCAATAGGGGGTCTGCAAGAGGCAGCTTATCGATGACTCTCTCTCATCGATGTTTCTAACTCTCTATCCCTCTCCCTTCCTCTCTGTACAAAAATCAATAAAATATTAAAAAAAAAAAGACTAGGGGAAGAACATAAAAGGCTAGATGAAAGAAATATGGTGCATGGTGCATATCCTATGATGGAAATAACTAACCATTGTTCATCATTCTATGTATCCCTGTATTAATCCATTATAGGACAATGGACACTTAAGTTTCATGCAGTTTCTGAGGAAGGGCAAGAAAGTAACAGATGTCTCTATAAATGTTATGAAAAGTGTATCTCTGTTTTTAGAGTTTCTTTCACATTTACAGATATATTCTATTTGAGTGCCGAGATTTCAACAGTAGCATCAGAAAGACTGTGAAAATGCTTTTACTACCAACCAAATTTCTCTTGGGCAACTTTTCCTGAAAAAGTGTTTATTCTTTGACAGCAGCAGTGAAGTGGGAGGCAATGTATTGTCTTACAGATAATGAGAAGGGTAACAACAAATCAATGTTGCATGTGAACTAACTTGTTAAAGGCCAAATACAAATATCAGATTACTAATAAAAATACAATAAGGTTTAATACCCACAGAAGCTTTCCAATCTCTAACTACAGTAACAAAACTGCTGAGCATGTTTTCTATTGAACTACCATTAAATTATTTCTAGCATCATACAATTATATTAAAAATACATTATATTTATAGCAAAAAAGGGATATATTGGAAACATTTTTGTCAAGTTGAGGGAAGCAGGTTGATGAAAAAGAACATTTACCATTGTTGCTATGGCACTAAATCAACAATTAAAAACATTTTCCATATAAACAATGATTTGATACTTTTGGTATTTAGTATAGTGAAGAGGTCTGACCAAGAAAGGCTTGGAAAATTTTATAATATCTAAATTCTTAGAAACAATATTAAAAATTGTAATAAAAAAACAGGATTTTTAAAAATTAATCTTTTCAAGATTGTGATTATTCTCAGCTAGATATATCTCCAAAATCTATCTCTGTCCCTCCATCCCACTGCCACTGCCTTATTTCATTCCCTCATCGCTTTCATGATAGTGTCCATTCTGCTACAGTATACCATTTATTATTCCCCAGCCTCATGTCCTCCAATGCATCACCTGTAACCAAAGTCAGAATCCTTACATGACATTTAAGGTTTCAGAATTGTCCTCAAGACACCTTCTCAGATATCTCCTACACTACACATGTTTCAAATTAAATAAGTGTCATACCTGTAGAGCAGCTACCACTTGTGGAAGGTTACAGACAAGTAATTAGAGTGAAATGTGATAAGTACTACAGTAGGAAAGTAAGCTTAAAGAATAATGAAAAAATAGTTCCTTATGTGTACATGTCAGCAATGATATTTCAGTTGTGGATGGTGGTGATGCAGGTCCAACCCTCTCTGGTTTGGTCCTGGGAAACCTGCAGTGATGCACAGCTGCTGACTGCTATTATGGTAAGGTGTCATCAGCGACTGATCTCACTCATCTAGGGCAAATGGTGAACAACATAGACTGATGAACAAGAACAGACCCAGAGATAAGGAGCCATGGGTCAGACTGTTGGACCTCAAAGAGAGGGTGGGGATAAAAGGGAGAAATCAACCAAAGGACTTATGTGCACACTATGAGCCTAACCAGTGGTCCAGGACAATAGGGGGATTGGAATGGGGGGTTGAGGACAAATATGTGATACTTTAATCAATAAAGAAATTAATTTAAAAAAAAAAGAATAATGAAAAATAAAGGAAAGGCAAGTAACTTTATAATAGGATAAGGTTTCCAAGGGAAGAGTGGAAAGTACCAAAGGAAGAATAATGTGCTATTCCTGTTTTTTATTTTATCCTCTAATTTTATATCTTTGGCTAGAAAATTTTCTTTTCATCTGCACAGCAAAAGGTAACATTAGTAGCATCTTGTTGTAGTCATTGATTAACAAGCTATCCTGGTGCACAGGTTACTTTATGTTTGTTCCTCACCACCTTTGTCTATTTGCTTCTGACTTGGAGACTGGCATGCAACAATCTCCCAATACTGGGCACTATTATTTGTAAATAAATAATTCAATAATCACCTCAAAACTCAACTTTTATAGGGTTGAAACAGCCTTACCTGGCATGGTTGACTATCATTTTCTGCATGCAAATTATTATTGTACTAGGGGCCCAGTGCATAAATTTGTTTATCTTGAAAGGAACTGTGGGCTGTGAGGCTGCAGTGGCAAAAGGGTGGTCTTGGCTCATCCTCCTCACCCCTGCCCGGCCCCTCCTGGTCCCCTGTCTGCTGGCAGCCCTACTCCAGCTCCCATGTGATGACAGCATAGCATGGAGCTATTGTGGCTGGTGCCAGCAGTGGGTGAGAGTGGGGCCCATGCTATCAGTGGGTGCAAGCGGCAGCTGCTGCCACAATTGCCTCTTAGGAGCAGGGCAAGGTGGAGAAGCCCTCAGGGGTAATCAGGACTGGCAGCCATGGCTTGCACCCGGTGATGGTGTGGAGTGATCAGGGCTGGCAATGGGCAACCAGTTGTTCGGTTGTTCCCTTGTTCTGTCTATATACATATTAGGGTTTTATATATAGATATAGATGATATAGATGATATAGATATAGATATAGATATAGATATAGATATAGATATAGATATAGATATAGATAGATATAGATATAGATATAGATGATATAGATATAGATATGCATCGTTTGTCTAGGGCTTGTCATCCTATCTAATAAAAGGGCAATATGCAAATTGACCATCACTCCAACACACAAGATGGCCGGCCTCATGTTTACACAAGATGGATGCCACAAGATGGCCATCAGGGGAGGGCAGTTGTGGGTGATCAGGCCAGCAGGGGAGGACAGTTAGGGGCAACCAGGCTGGCAGGGGAGGGCAGTTAGGGGCAATCAGACCAGCAGGGGAGCAGTTAGGCGTTGATCAGGCTGGCAGTGGAGTGGTTAGGGGGTGATCAGGCTGATAAGCAGAGGCAATTAGGAGCAATCAGGTAAACAGGCAGGCAGGTGAGCAGTTGGGAGCCAGCAATCCTGGATTATGAGAGGGCAGTCAGACATCCTTTGAGGAGTCCCAGATTGGAGAGGGTGCAGGCTGGCCTGCCTGTTGGTCAAACTCCTGATTGAGGGGACAATTTGCATATTAGCCTTTTATGGATATACACTGAGAGGCCAGATTATTATTATTTTTTAAAATATATTTTATTGATTTTTTACAGAGAGGAAGAGAGAGGGATAGAGAGTTAGAAACATCAATGAGAGAGAATCATCTATCAGTTGCCTCTTGCACACCCCCTACTGGGGATGTGCCCACAACCAAGGTACATGCCCTTGACCAGAATTGAACACGGGACCTTTCAGTCCACAGGCCGATACTCTATCCACTGAGCCAAACCGGTTTTGGCGAGTGGCCAGATTATTATGCGTTCAAAGATCATAATAATCTGGCCACTTAGTGTAATTCCATAGAAACAAATGAAGCCCTTTGGGTGGAAAAAGTAGAGAAGGATGCATATTATATAAATGGAAGAAAAGACAAATAGGTCTTTTTGGATACAAACATTATGACAGAAAAAATTTAATTTGAAGACTTTAAAGAAAGCAGGTATGTAAAAAATATGGAAAAACAATGTATAAACATGTACATATGATCTTAATGGGAAACAAGACAGAAAATAGACATTATTCAAATAACTGAATTGTAATACCTAATTAAATATTTACTATAGTATTTTAATATCTAAAAACTTCCAAGTAAAGAAAAACTTAGAAAAAGGAAAACTGCCTTTATTCTCTATTTTTCAGTTTTATTCAAAAGCAATGGTGACCTAGAAACTGTGAAGATGACAGAGCAATTACCATTATTAAAAAAGAAAACCAGACTATGTTCTTTTCTGCCTTGCTATTTTCCAGATTCGTGAATAAAATGTACTGATATCTTGTGCTATAAAAATCTATTAACACAAGTAACAAGAAAACAATCTAATTCTTGTGAGATGTTTTTGGAAAAATAAAGAAAATGGCCATAGTTAAAGGCCCTCAAAGGATATTTTCTAACTTTAAAAGGTTGTGTTACAGAGTGTGTATTGGCTTGAACCTCTTTTATTGTTCAGGCCCCTAAGTTCCCATCAAAGCTGATGATTAAAGTTCTACACACTGGCCAGGTCTCTGCAATTATCCCATTGTGAGGGAGCTCAACAGTGGGCGCCCTGCGATGGCCAGACATCAAGTCATAAGAGAACTGTGAGGAATGATGAAGAAGGTTATTTTAATTTCCTTTTCAGCTCTTCTCAGGAGTGGCTCTTTAGTTCACAGAGCCGTGGGTACTTGCTTTCAAACTAACAAGCAATATTATAAATGGAGGTTGCATTATCATGATTGCAGACAATCTAAGGCACTTGAAGGCCAAGGATTGTAGGCCCTCAGTAGGTGCTATGTTGTATTTCTCAGCTAAAAACATATAGATGCCATAAACAATAAAAGAGGGGATAAGCAGTGAACAGGCTGGGAAGGGGGCAGAGAAAGCAATAAGAGCATACAAGATAAAGACAACGGAGAGGTAGTGCAGCCTGGACATTCTCTTGGTCTATAAAACATTTTTACCCATTTTCTTGCTGTTCCACTGCGTAGTGTTCCAGCTCTGAACCAGGAAGGGGTTGGGCAGGGGGAGGAGGTAGAGGAACATTGGCCCAAGTCGATCCATTGTTTTTCTGCGGTTTAGATGAGTTTTTATTTTTCTTCTTTTTTCCACCTTTTCCACCTAAAAGTAATAATGCACTTATTCAGACATACCAAATATCAGAAGAAACAAAGGAAATCTGATGGACTATGTATTTATGTTTTTAAAACACCAGGATTGGTATGTCACAGTGTTAAAAGCCATAAACAATGGCATTATATAATCAGAAAACATTTTTTATAAATCACCCAAAATAGTATTGTCTTTCCCATCCTATAAACTACAGAGTTGAGTAAACCAAAAATATGGCTGCCAGAGGAAAAGCACATTTATTGATTTATGCATGTGTGCTGCCTCCACATTTTCATTGTTAGAGCAAACAATGGGCCATAACAACTTTTTTCAAATGTCAGATTTTAATGTATTTATAATGCTCTTTTGCATAACCTTTCTTAGTGAAAAATGCACTGTCTAAGGATACAGGCTAAACTTTTAAATTAGAATTTACTCAATTTAATTAATCCAGCAGAATAACAGTTTAAAAATCAATCAACTATACCAGAGGATAAGTTGTAAATTTTTCACACTAATATGTTTTATAGAAATTTTAACTAATGACCAATTTATTTATTTATTTATTTATTTATTTATTTATTTATTTATTTATTATTTGCATATAGTGAGCATAGTTCCCAAATGCTTTAAGCAAACCATTTCCTAAATTCAAAAAAGAAAAGAAAATGAATGGAAATACAGTAATCAGTTTTACTACTATTATAATACAAATGAATGTATGAACAAAACATGATCAGAAGGTAACACAGTGGCATACAGGCCATGTGTAGAATTACAGGAGTTTAATAAAATATAAAAGAAAATTTATCACTTCTATTATTATAGTGCCAGGGTTTTCACTCTTTCAAAATTAAGTAAATGAACTTTCTTCCTAAATGAACTATGGGTGGATGCTGGAATTAATACTTCTTGAGCAGAATGACCAAGAATGATTAAAGGGAAGCTAAGAAACTGTTATCACTCCCACAACTATCTGTAGTAATATGGGGGGTTGGGGGGGAGAAAGGTACTGTCTCCTTGGATTTTATCTTTTTGGAACTAAAAGTTGTAAGAATCAAATATTTGCAACATTGTTATCTAGCAATAGAGATATCACTTTCTCTCAATTACTAGTCTGCATTCACTAATTTAAAAAATTATGTAATTTAATAATAACTTATTTCAGTGCCCAAAAGTGCTTAAGCTATTAAATTACTATATTTTCTAGGTAGTGTGTATAAAACACTTATATGCGAAAAAGTATATCTGAAAATGAAGTGCTTTCACCTTTTCTTTCACTTTTATCTTTGGTAGAATGAGAAATATTTAGAGCACAGAAAGGGGAGCGATCTTCAGGTTCAAGGATAAGAGCTTGATCTCTGGGTTTGAAGACTAGTTTCTCAATTACTCGATGTTTCTCAATAGATATCACCTTGATATTCACACATGTAAAACATAGTTACTACTTCTTTAGGCATTTTGAGGGTTTTAAGAGATAATGCATGTAGAGGACTCAGAATATAAAGAATGCTCAGTAAATGTCAATCATTCCTACTATTTTCTGATTGTCTTTGCCACACCCAACTCCTCCAAGACAAAGTGTCCCAGGAATAGCCTGATTTTCAGATAAGAATAATAACCTGTTTGAATTCACATCTCTATTATTTTTATTTAAGACTAGGGACCCAGTGAACAAAATTTGTGCACAGGGGTGGAGGGGAAGGAGAGGTTCCCTCAGACCGACCTGTACCCTCTCCAATCTGGGAGCCCTCAGAGGTGTCCTACTGATGGCATAGGCCTGCTTCCCATAGTTCTCTGCTCTCTGCGGACCTGCGTACTTGAGGACACCACAGGCCCTAGTGTTTGCACTCTCAGGAAGCCTGCTTGCCTTTTGCTGCCAGGTCCAGGAGCAAGCAGGGCCCTGGTGTCTGCTCACTCACTACAGGGGACTGCTTGTCCCTTGCTGCCATGGCCAGGGGCAAGCAGGGCCCCACTGTCTGTTTGCTTGTTGCAGGCATCCAACTGCTTGTCATCTGGCGCATGCATGCTTCCCACAGACCCACCATCTTTGTTGGGTTAATTTGCATTCTCTCTCCTGATTGGCTGTGGGTATCATGGAAGTATGGTCAATTTATATATTTGTCTATTATTAGTATAGATAGTGAGCCTTAATCTGATAAGGCTCACTATCTATAGTGAACCTTATCAGATTAAGGCTCACTATAGATAGTTTCTGATAACCCAACCAAACAAGGACTATACATTTTTTCAATATCATCAGAACAATATCTCAGTTAAAAAAGGAGTGAGCTGGGACATAAGGCCCATAGCTTTTCCCCTAATCATGCCTCCTTTATTCTTTATATTTATGTGTGTACAATGTTTTTTCACTTTTCATAACACTTTTAGAAATGCAATATGCTCACTACCCAAACTGAGTGACATAAATAGGCATTTTCTCACAGCTCCATTTCAGGAGAAGGCATAGATGCTTTCTGAGTTTGTATGGCCCATATTTACACAGTAAAAGAAAAATTTTTAAAAAATAATAAAATGCAGCAGCTTTTGTGGAACTTAGTATTTCTGAACCCAAATCTGTTGAAATCCTTATCCAAGATCAAGAAAGCCATTATCCAAACAATAGACTTAAAAATGTATTCATTGAGGGAAGTTGTAAGGACTTTCCACTGAATATACACATTTCCCTCTTTGGGGAAATTTCTGTACTCTTATTGTAGACATTCTTAATAGTATTATCAATCAACATGCTTTGCCTTCTTATAGCAATGAGCCAGGACAGGTAGATTCTTTGTGGTGGGCATATGACATAAACTAAGGAAATAAAAATCTCTATCTGAGATCTAAAACTTTAATTGAGTCATACTTTGTTGTTGTTAATTGCAAAGAAAGATCCTCAAGCATTTCAAAGTGAACTGCCTGTGTCACATTTTAGGAGAACATATTTTGATGGCTTGCAAATACATTTGACCAATCTCTCTTCAATGCAAAATGTAAATATTTGGATTTACATTTATGTATGCTTAATACATGCCTTCTATGTAGAAAAACCTATGAATACAGCTAATTTTTAAATTACACTTATAATCTATTTTTAAAACACTGCCGTGTAAAAAGATTTAGTTATTGATGCTGATATTGAACTACACATACACGTGTATACAGGGAAAACCCAGAAAAATGTATACACACTTTAACAACTGATATTTCAATATTGAAAATTAAATGTATTTTAATAAACACTGCCCTTATAATTCTTCAAAGTGTGTGTATACATTTTTGGGATATCCTACATATATAAAATTATGATACAGATGCTATTTTGTAAGATATGAGTTTTCTTTTATATTTTTTATTGCTGGAAGTGTTCATAACTTATGTATTGAACAAATTATAAAAGTTTTAAAGAGGATGAAAAATTCACTCAAATAATTCTGAAATGTCCAATTTTCTTTATTACTGCAATTATTTTAAACTGGTTTCATAATTGTGCACAAATTAAGAAAATCTTATAATATGATATCATTAGATATCCATAGGGCAATTTGATCCTAAACTTGAGCCTTAGGAAACATACTCATTATTATAAGAATAAAACAAAGACTATCATTGAACTCAACTAAAAAGGAATATTAAATTCTCCTAAAGAATGCTTTCTATCACTGATTTAAGTGACTTTATATTCAAATGTAGATGAAGTAGTTACTGCTATGCATAGATATATTTAAATGTCACTCCGGAGATTAAAGTATTCAAAAAGAAATAAGCACTATTGTGAATTGTGTTCAGCTTACAATTATTCAAAAAATAACTTCTAAAACTCAGTGGCAATCAACATATACAGAATATTTTTATGAAGGATTCACAGAGGATCTTATGGGTTACAGCATATAGATAGCTATTATATGTATATTGCTTGAGAGTACATATCTTGAATAAAATAAGCTTAACATAAATTACTTTTTAATTATTCAGGGCTATTGTGAGCCTCATTTTAAATAAGTGACAGTATAAATGACATATAAAGATGTTCAAAAAGTCTTCTATTTTATTAAGCCAGTTTCAATTCATAATAGATGTTTAAAATTTTCTGGATTATATAATGTAGTTAATTCTACCAAGATGTGAGAAGAACAAATGGCCCATTGTAAAGGGATAAAAGAGCATTAACATTTTCAGATTGAAAGGATTCTATCTCCTGAGAAAAAGTCATTTAATAAAAGTTACCCTAATGATGTAAAGAATTAACTCGTTATGGTCTTGATGCCTGGTAGTTTTATAACATATAATATACTATATTCCTTTACTAAAATGCTTATAGTTTAAAAAAAAAAAGAAAACAACTTTGTAAAATATGGAATATCATAAATATGAAAAATTAAGCAAGTAAGGTCATGGAATTAATAGAAATGTGCAAATAAAGTAGTCAGTCATACAACATCCATGTTATGGTTGGAAGTTAGAGTGTGCCTACTACAACTTCTGAATTTTAGAGGTGAGGATCTTTTGGCCTGGAGGATATCACTGATATTCCTTATGACAGGTATATATTCCTGTCCAGTAAAATGTGTTTTCCCCTATACAATACCTACGTTATAGTTGTTAGTTTGGCTAATACATCTCAAATATATATTAAAATTCACAGTATAGAAAAGTTATCAATATGAGAGAATATATTTGGGGGGGAAATTAAATGTGAAGGGAATATCCCATATTACCCTTCTTTTTAGTACTAGAGGCTCGGTGCATGGATTTGTGCACCAGAGGGGGGCAGTCCCTCAGCCTGGCCTGTGCCCTCTCATAATCCAGGAGCCCCTTAGGGTATGTGGGAGAGCTGGTTTTGGCCTGATCCCTGCAGACCAGGCTGAGGAACCCCACCAGTGCACACATCCCTGCATCAGGCCTCTAGTATCCATATAAGATCTTTGGTTAATCTCTCCCCCCACTTTCCCTCCCTTATTCTCTCTGAGATTCTTCAGTAGGTTCCATGTTTCCATGCCTGTGCAATTGAGCGTCTGCCCCCTGATGGTCAGTGCATGTCATAGCTACTGGTGGAATGGCCACTTAGGCTTTTATATATTATATATAGATGGTGTTAGCACCTTACTTTAAATAATGTCATTTAATAGACAATAAATATATTACATAACATATTATAAAGAATCTCCAAAAATATCACTGAAATTCTAATTTGAAAAAATCTCCAAAATTATTTGCATTTCAGTTGAACTAATTTTTTAGTGTCCACACCATGTAGTTGACTTTCTCTTATGACTATTTTACTGTAAAGTTCTCTTGAGGCTTAAGTAGGGTTCAAGGCAGATCAAATACATCCACTCTTTAATGAACAGTATTCAGTAAAATGGCACTATTTTTCAGTAAATATATCCTCATACATTAGTACAGAAGGAGTGACAGTGATTTTTATCCCTACAGGCAAGGATGATTTTATTAGGATAAACTGCTATTATCATGAAAGATAAATGCCTGATCATGACTTGTGATTCACTTTTTCTCATGATTCTTAGGAACACAGGTCATATGCTGGTGACAAACAAATATTTCTCCTTACTTCGATGAGACCAACCTGAGAGACTGCCACTCCGCTCTGAGCTGTTGTGAGAGCTGGTGGTGCTGAAATCCTGTGACTGGTTGTGTGGCATTCTATTAGACAATCCCTCAGCCAATCGGTAGTCAGGGATGTAAAGTAAGGCTAAGGGTTAAAGGGCAGAGGTCACAGTGGCATCATGTGATTAGTTCACAGCACAAGCCCATGCAGAACATGCAGTTAGCAATTCAGAAGCAGATGTTGGAGGACAGTGGAGGAATGTTTGGCCTAGCCTGCCTAATGGAAGTTGAGATGGATTACTGATCACTATTGATAAAGAGCTAAGAGGATGAAAACGATCAGTGTCAGTGTTTGGTAGTAGCAACGGTGGCAGTGGTGACGGTGGTGGTGGGTTGGCGGTAGTGGTGGTGATAAGAATTGTGAAAGGTACTGAATACATGCTAATATATGCTTTTAGTTTAGTGAACCTGGTAATGAATCACCGGACTGAACAGTGAATACTAATTTCTATCTCATGCACAAATGATACAAAAAGAAATCCTCAAGAAATAAGGACCTAACTCACCATTGTTACCTTTGTTCTGATCAGGTAGAGAATAACCAAATCCCATCAGATCTGTTTTTTGCTGAATTGAGCTTTTCCACTGTGGATCAGGCAGATCGACAGCCAATTCATGAATGCTGTTGGAATGCAGGATCTGTGTTGTGGCATATGGGGTAGCTTGTGTTATTTGGCTAGAGCTGTTGTAAGTAGTTTTGGTAGTGAAGTCGATGCTGCTGTAAATGGCTCCATCAGAGAGCATCGTTGCTGTTTTATCCCCTTGGCCTGGAACTGGTGGCAGCACATCTGTGGTGAACGTAGGAAAATGAAACAATTTAATGATGCACAGACAGCCCAGAACTATCAGGACTGAAGATGAAAAATATATGTGTCATCCTGCATGTTTGCATTTCAGCTGAAATGGGTTTCATGAGCCAATGAAGGATAGATGATGTACAACCTTCGCCAAGCTGTCAGCCCAGTGACAGGCAGGCCTACCGCTCGTCCTTCATGTCTCGCTGCTTACCAGACGTCTTTCTCCATTTTCTTCAACTATGAATGAGAATTTTGGGATATTCCACTATTAAAAAATGCTTTCAGTTGTTCACTCTGTTTTAGGACCAATAAAAGTATTACCGCTTTTCAGAAGCAATAAGTTTGAATATACAAATAATGGATGAAAAAATATTTTTCCAAAGGACATAAAGTACAACTGCTTGAATATATATGCAAAAAATTCCAAAATCATACTATGGAACTATGAGGTACATTTTTCTGAAGTTTCAATTTGCTGTTTATCTAATTTGACTTCACAGCTTCAGGAATGGAGGGAAAGTTATGGTACCAATTTCTTTTTCTTGGATAACAAAAGAAAATTTTTATGAATATGTCATTTTCACAATACAGCAGGATTTAACTCCATAAAAAGCAATCTGAGTGATCAGAGTTTAATTTATTTTACCAACTCTTACAAGTGGAGAATTAGAGTTTCAAATTGTAATACAACAAGAGTAAAAATAAACTTTAGGAACTACACTGAATATCAAACAGTCCACTTATTATTAATTATTTTGGTGTGCTGAATTAGCTTTATGTGATGCTTTATAATTCAGAATTACTAAAATAAATAAATAAATAACTGAATAACACCATTTTTAATCATGGAGAGTTAAAAGTGAATCTACTTACAATATGTTTCTTAAACTATATTTTAAAAGCCATACTTTGTAAAATTTGAAGTCATCAACCAACTTTAATTCTTCATTGTAGGAAATTTTCAACTAGTTATAGTACTGTAACATTAAATAATAAACCAAATCATGTTAGTACCAAAAACCAATTTTCATCACAAAGAGGAAGTTTAAATAGGAACTTAGTCAAAATATCCTCAAAGTTTTCAATGGTAGCTAACAGTACTTGAAAAATAAAAATTTTTATATTCTTTTTATATTTTAAAAAAATTGTCTCCTTTACAATAGTAACAAGACATTTATAATGTACTAGAGGCCTGGCGCATGAAATTTGTGCACAGGTGGGTGTCCCCTCAGCCCAGCCTGATCACTCCTAACTGCCTCTGCCTGCCAGCCTGATTAGTCCTCTTCAATCTAGGACCCCTTGGGGGATGTGTGACTGCTGGTTTATCAGGCTGAAACTGGCAGTTGGACATCCCTCTCACAATCCAGGACTGCTGGCTCCTAAATGCTCACCTTCCTGCCTCCCTGACCACACATAACTGCCCCCCCAGCCAACCTGATCACCCCTAACTGCCTCTGCCTGCCAGCCTGATTGCCTCTAACTGTCCCACTCTGCTGGCTTGGTCGCCCCTAATTGCACCCCACACCAGTACAGTTGCCCCCAAATGCCCCTCCCTGCTTGCCTGGTCACTCTCAACTGCTCCCCCCAACGGCAGCCTGTCAACCCCAACTGCCCCTCCCCCCTCCTTGCTGGCCTGTTCACCCCTCACTGCCACCCTCTGCCTGCCTGGTCACCTCTCACTGCCCTTCTTGTCGGCCTAGTCACCCCACACAGCCTGCTGGTTAGTCATTTGCTTGGCCCTCGCTAGCCCTCCTTCTGGCCTGGCCACCCCATGCAGCTTGCTGTTCAGTTGTATTGTGAGGGTGTCATGACCAATTTGCATATTACCCTTTTATTAATATAGCTTAAGGCCTGGTGCATGGATTCATGCATTGATGGGGGGGTGTTGCCTGTGGGAATCAGCCTGCTGTGGGAGCAGCTGCTCATCCCAGTCAGCTGAGCAGTGTTCCCACTGTGGGAGTGTGCTGACCACCAGGGGGCAGTTCCTGAGTTGAGCGTCTGCCGCCTGGTGGTCAGTGAGTCCACCAATCATTCTGATCATTCCAGCATTTGGTGACTGGGCTTTTATATAGAAAGATTTTGTACACTGTATAATTTAGGTCTTTTTGAAAATTTTGAAGTCTGAAATTCCAAATTGTTTTACATTTAAGTGGATATATACTTTATTGAAGTAAATATTTTAAATGACTAGATTGTTAAACATATTCAAATTTAAACATTTCATCAAGGTGTATAAGCAAGTAAAATCATTTTGCAATTTCAGAATTTCACAACTACTTTTTTTTGTCGTTCTTGCTTTTAGTTATAAACTCATTTTGAAAATTTGATGATGAAGCAGCATATTTCATTCTCAAGTGCCACTACCATTTTTATTATCAAAACTTTTAATATTTAATATTATATAAAAATCGTGGAAATAAATCCTTCACTCTGGGGAAGTTTTCAGTTTCTGCCACTTCCACAATGTCTTTCACTGGTAAATATTAACTAGCATGGGACCCAACTTCCCAATACCTTGAACTTGAGCTTCTCTAAAGCTTTGAGATTTAAATTGGGAGTCACTCCAACAACAAGCTATGGAAGTGGTTGTATGTTCAGTGTTATTCTGCAACAGCTAAGGCTGTGGCTCTAAAATAAAATTTCTCTTTCTGCTGGATGAAATTAGCTTTCAAGTCCAAGTGCTCTCTACTGATTTTTGGGAGGCTGCATATTACCTTCAAATGTTATTTGATCACTCTTACATTTTAAAAAATATACCATTGAAAAATTGGAAGCAAATGCATAATATGTGGGCTTAGGGGAAATCCTTTAATATCATGCTTTGGAACCTGGCCAGCCTTCCCCAAAAAGCTTGCACCAGAATAGGTGCTGCCATCTTTAGGCAGGTTTCCTATCTTGCATTTTGCACACTTCACATCTACCATCCTTAGCACTTCAGGTTGGCTGACTGGCACTTGTTAACATTTGAGTTTGAAACCTATGAATGACAGAAAACCTTCTATCCAGTTGGAATCACTCATGAATCCTTCTGTAATTTTCTAATATCTTGTTTAAGAATGAATTTATTTATTTATTTTTTTGTCCTGGCATAATTAATTATATAAATGTCTGTATCCATTACTGTATCATAGTTATTTGAGGGCAGAAACATAAAAGATTTATGTCTGTATTCCCATATTTTCCTCACATAGTATTTCACAGAGTTTAAGCACTCACTTAATGGTTAAATATATATATATATATATATATATATATATAATTTATTTTTAATATTTCTTTTTTCTTTAATATATTTTATTATTATAAAATATAATTTTATATTAATTTATAATAACAGAGAGGAGGAGAGAGGGATGGAGAGCTAGAAACATCGATGAGAGAGAAACATTGATCAGCTGCCTCTTGCACACCCCCTATCGAGGATGTGCTCACAACCAATGTATTGATACATGCCCTTGACCGGAATCGAACCTGGGACCTTCCAGTCCACAGACCGACGCTCTACCACTGAGCCAAACCGGTTTCGGCTGGTAAAATATATTTTTAATAATTTGTATTGTCAAAATGCAGACGTATGCAACAATGAGAAACTTTATCATTCAAAATGTATTGGTATTCCATTTTAAAGGGGAATGTCAGTGTACATGATAATTCTTCTCAGTGAATATGGCTGCACTACAATCCTAACTGTGAGCTCTGTCTTTAGAAACTTGGCTCTTGAATCTGTCAGACTTGCATTCTAAACCCAGATACCAAATTAATCATTTTGAAAACCTTAGTGTTTCGTTTTGTTTTTTTTACCTTTAAAAATGAAATAGGTTTATCTTGCTCAAATATCTATCATAAGAAGAAAATGAAAAACGTACAAAAATTTTCAACACTATTTTCTGTATATAGTAAATGTCTAAAATGCCTACCACTGAAAATAGATTCTGTAGACCCTGCGAAAACATTGGCTTGGCCTTGATGTTCATCTGTAATATATTTCATGTTATGGAAATGAGGTAGAAATATAAGCAAAACTTTGAAAATCAACAAATTTGATTTGGCTATATTTGATGGAGAAAATTTAGATGTTAGTGTAACCTTCTAGAAATTAAAAAATAATTATTTTCTTCCATCATCAGGTATTTATTTATTTATATGAAAATTGAACGGTGTGTTATTCCAATACAAACACAAACTGTAGAAGAGGCAGTTATCCATTGACTGATTAAAAATCCTATTAAAATATCAAAGGCATATTTCACATATCTAGACAAATACTCAAAAATTTTATATGGAATAATAAAAAAAGATCTTAAGTAGCCACAGTAATCTTGAGAATAAGACAATATTGGAGGCATCAAGCTATACTACAAAACCACTATGATGAAAACAGCCTGGTACTGGCACAAGAACAGTCATATTGATCAATAGAACAGAACAGAAAACACAGAAATCAACCCAAGCCATTATGTTCAATTAATAGTTGACAAAGGAGGCAAGAGCATACAACGGAGTCAAAGCAGCGTCTTCAATAAGAGGTGTTGGGAAAATTGAACAGGTACATTCAAAAAATAAAATGAAACTAGACCAATTTACACTCTACACAAGAATAAACTTAAAATGGATACAAAACTTAAATGTAAGACATGAAACCATAAAGCTCCCATAAGAAAACATAGGCAGCAAAATATCAGACATCTCACCTAGCAGAATTTTCACTGATACATTGCCTAGGGCAAGGAAACAAAAGTAAAAATAAACAATTGGGACTACATCAAAATAAAAAGTTTTAGCATAGCAAATTAAAGTGACAATGAGTTGCCACCTCACATCTGTCTGAATGGCTAGCATCAATAAATCAACAAACAAGTGCTGACTAGGATTTGAAGAAAAACATATGCTAGCATACTACTTGTAGGAATGCAGACTATGGAAAACTGTGTGGAGTTTCCTCAAAAAATTAAAAATGCAACTGCCATTTGACTCGGTGATCCCATTTCTAGGAATATATCCTAAGAAGCCAGAAACACCAATCAGAAAGAATATATGTACCCCTATGTTTATAGTAGCATTATTTACAATAGATAAGATCACAAAGTATCCTAAGTGTCTATCAATGGATGGATGAATTAAAAAATGTGGTACATTTATAAAATGGAATACTATGCAGCTATAAAAGGATCTGTAACCTTTTGAAATAGCATGAAGGGACCTGGCGAGTACTATGCTAAGTGAACTAAGCCAGTCAGAGAAAGACAAGTATCACATGATCTCATTTATATGTGAAATCTAATTATCAAAATAAACTGATGAACAAAATAGATCTATAGACATAGAAGCATGCAACAGATAGATGTATTTCAGAGGGAAGGACTCGGGTGGGAAGCAATTAACCAATGAACTTATATATGCATAGCCCATGGGCAGACAATAGTGTGGGAAGGCTTAGAGAGGGGGTGTAAGTGGGTGAAAGAGGTCTAGAGGGGGAAATTTGGATATGTTTAATGTTTTCAATAAAGGTAAATTTTAAAAAAGAGTTTTGGGAACAGAATTTCTTTTGATACAGGTAGTCTAGGTAGATCAAGGGGGCATGTTCTGCCTACCTCGTGAGGAGATATTCAAGTACAGAGCTTACTCATGGTAAAGTGATAACCCATAGTGCAGGCTCAGAGTTTGGTCAAGTAGAGAAGGCAGCCACTTTCAGAGGCTCTGATCATGTAAGAATCCTAAACAGGGTCTACTAAATTATAGAAAGTAAACTAGAAGTGGAATGATCTTAAAACTTACTTTCTGTTCTCTTATTTACTCCAATGATGCATATTGACCACTGATTGTATGGTAAAGTTTGTGCTAAACCCGTGTGTGTGTGTGTGTGTGTGTGTGTGTGTGTGTGTGTGTGTGTGTGATCCATTTAATTCTCATTACACACCTAATGATTTTATTTGGAGAATGGGAGGGAGTCACCTTATTATAGTTGGTATTAACAGAATGCATACTTATACAATACTTAATAGTATAGATTCACGGGTCAACACTCAACCACTAAGCCACATCGACTAGGTGGCATTCCATTTTTAAAAAGAAAAAGCCAGCATCCTTTTAAGTCAATATCTTTATATACTCATACCTGTGAAACCCACCACTGGGGCCAGTAGACTCTGAATAGTTGAATCTAGCCCTGTGTTTCCTACAATAATTCTACCTAGAAATATAGAAATCTTCCAATGGATTTATCCAAACTTTCTTGAATTACAGCACTACTTTCCTAAATAATCACCTCATTTTTTTTCACTGTAGCTCCCTTCTCCACCCAGCAACAGCCTGAATGACTTGAAGCAGTATTTGGAGCCTAGCATTCTGCTCTTAGAAATCTATGAGTGGCTTCTGGTCATGCTTTGGAAAATGTTTATATTATAGTTTCTGTGCGGCTTCGAAGGCAATCTGTGATTTTTTTTTTTTTTTTTTTACCACTTCTGCTGTCTTGCATTTTATGCTAAGTCACTATATAATTAATTTCTCAAATAGGTCAATATCTGTGCCTTAAATTATGCTAGCTTATTCTCCACACACCTTTTGCCCCTTTTTTTTTGTTTTGTTTTGTTTTGTTTTTTTGTTTTTTTGTTTTTTTTTGTTTTTTTACTAATTCTTCTCTCTCATTCAGATATCAACTTAAGTAACACTCCATTCATAGAACTGTCTTTCTTCCAATGGGCAGCTTTCATGTGGGATATCAGCAGCACAGTTCAAGTCCATTTGCTGTCTGCACAAATTTCTGCCAATAGCAAACTCATATATAATATATGTGCCAAATTAAACACTGGGACCAGAGACTTCTCTAGTCAAGTCTTTCTCTAAACCCACTGATCTTTTATTGATTGGATGGAGACGGTGGGGGGGCGGGGAGAGAGGAAGTGGTGAGTATTTATAATTGGTCCAATCCTGTCTCCCTATAAAGACCTATGGAAATAATTCTGGCACCAAATTTTGGATACTTCAGCATGTCAGCTACTTAGCACCTTATTGTCTTTTATTTGAAGTACCAGATATCAATTACAGAACTACAGGAAAGTTCTCACTCAACATGTTTACTTCAGGTATATAATATATTATATAAGCATAAAGACCATTTTTCATCATATTAATATATATTTACTGTCTGCCATATTGTCAGGTACAAAGGGCATGATCATTAAATATATAATGAATGAATGAGAGAAGTGAAATAACTAGACAAAATTATAAGCCCTATATAGCAGCACAGTGAAAAGTCTTAAAAACAAAATGTATTATGGGTATTTATTTTCTTGGTTAGTAATGACTTCCTTAAAACTTAGTTTTACTCAAGGTAATATAAGAAAATAGTTTTATAATAAAATATTCTGCAAATGTACTGTGCTTATTAGTACACGTGTTTCACTAGTTTTAATATGAAAAATACTCTTTGGTATATCTTTTTTAAAAATCTAGAAAATCCAAGAAAACAAATAACAAAATTTTGAAAAGATAACTTACCTCCACGCCCAAAATTCCCAATCTCATTTGGGCCACTATTGCTATTGTTGACTGGCAAACTTGTGGCTGGCCATGAGTCAGCAAGCCACGGATAATTGGGGTCCCCAGCATTTAAAAGACCTGGACGGCTAAAAGAGAAATTAAAAAGAAATCAATTGGTGGAGCTCAGTGGGGGATGTGAACACCTGTCTCATGCACTGAAATTAATTTAAGAATTTAAGATTTTAATTTACTTCAAATTAAAATGTGTAGGCTTTCTAAAAGTAAGGAACTTTAGAAGTTCTTTAGGTTATATAGAGAAGTTAGTGGCAGCAAAGGGTCCCACCTGGGATTCTGCTGACAGCAAATAAATTTTGTTATTTGCTCTGAAACTGGTAGGAATAGGTAATGTAGCAGGATCCCCAAACGAGGTTTGATGATGAATTGGCACCTCAAGGGAACAATTGCTCAGAATGACTGCTCAGTATCAGCCATTTCCAGGATTTGGGGCTATTGCTTCCTTGATTCCTGCAAGCCCCATATTTATCTGTCCCCAGAATGCTGTAACCCCTGTTATGAGCCTTATGTTTGATTTAGGGCAAAAAGCTTGAGGAAAATTAATGAATAGTATTTATACTGTTCCATCAATAGCACATTTCCAGATTCTGTAAATTGCAAAATATAAGGAGTATATTATAGTTTTCTTCTAAGTTAATAAAAGATACACTGTGATCTCATACAGCATGTGCATAAAGTCCCTGAAGAAAACTTTCTTCGCATCATAGTTAATAAAGAATTCATATTTTTAATATCAAAGATGGAGATTCTAATTCCTGTACAGATTATTAAATTATTTACAAAAATAGCAACATTTATAACCATTGTACTTCCTTTTTTATAGACTCTCTGTACAATTCTTAAGAGAAGCACAAGTTTCTATGGAAACCGCAATAAGAAGATCCAACTGCTTTCTTGCTATGTACAATAATTCTCATTAGACCTAATCTCTTTTTGCAAAAATATTGATTAAATAGGAGATTGGAAGTTATCACCAGAGCCTAATTACAATCTCCATATTGGCAAAGGGAAAATAGATGAGGATATATGAGTTTGTTATCAGCTTTTATCAATTTCAATTGAGTATCTAAAGTTGTGGAATCCAGTCCTATCAATCTACAGCCTATTCATCATACATGAATCATTTACTTTGTGATCGATTATGTGTAATTGTTCACTCACTGCAATTTAGTGAGAGCCAATAAGGAGTCTTAAACAACAGCAACTTCATTTGCTAATGTCTAATTAATGCAATAAAAATCCTGCTAACAAATGAACACATTCCTTGTGATATTTACTACTAATTTCTTCAGGGACATCTGGGAGATATGAAACATCTGGACTTGATTTCTCTAAAGTGCACAACAGACAGATCATTAAACCTGTGGTAAGCCATTTAATTCCTCCTAGAATTCTCAGACGTGTAAGTGATCGTTTATTACAATAGTGCCTCTTACTTTAGAGTTTCCCTTATCCTGATTACAAATGGTAATAACAATAAAAAAGAATCTCCTTAACATACCTTCCATTGCTCATTAGTCCTCCATCTCCTCTTTGAAATGTAACTGTAAAAAAAAAAAATCACACACACACACACACACACACACACACACACACACACAAACACACACACACACACACACACACAGTCAATATTAATTACAACTAATAAAAAGTATATATTGGCCTTTAGTTTAGAGCTGAGGCCTCTGGGAATTTTAATAAAATATAATTAAGGTAATTGTATAGGGAGTAGAAAGGAATAGTTTGGCTCAGGGCAAAGCAATCACTTGCTCCAACTTTAATAAGACATTTAAAAATTCTTTAAGCCAAATGTATGGTTAAGTCAAAGGGATAAGTTGTATTTGAATGTCAAATGTTACAATTGGTGTACCAGTATATATTTAGGGGCATTAAAGCTGACAAGTTATACTTGAGGATTATGAAACCATGACTTTTAAAAAATATATATTTTGTTGATTTTTTACAGAGAAGAAGGGAGACGCATAGAGAGTTAGAAACATCAATGAGATGTTAGAAACATTGATCAGCTGCCTCCTCCACACTCCTTACTAGGGATGTGGCCACAACCTACGTACATGCCCATAACCAGAATCGAACCTGGGACTCTTCAGTTTGCAGGCTGATGCTCTATCCACTGAGCCAAACTGGTTAGAATTGAAATCATGATGTTTGTTATTAATATATGAGTATCCTAACTAGAAGGAATGCATAAAATGCAAATAATGGAAACTGAAACAAGAGAGTCCAATGACATAGGTGACATAGGCTGACAGCATATTCCTCACCGTCATAGAGTCTTTAGGGTTTAGGTGCACTGATAAGCATTGAGTTGAGCAGCCAGTTACAATACATGTGAACTGTATTTAATAGATAGTGATGTACTCAGTGCTTTGTTTCATCATCCAACACTCACAAACATTTTTTCAAATAATTATTACTGAATATATTCAACTGGTATGTAATGATTACAAAATCGAGTTCTTTATAAAACTGTGGAACTTATTAGCAACACCAATAGAATCACAGCTGGAGAAGCCACTCCCTCCAGCCACCAGATTCCACTCAACAACTAACAGCATGGAAGTGGGCTCATGGGATGAGACAAAGAATATTAATATCAGTTCAGGCCCATCATTGATTGTTCAAAATCTTTGTGGCCAAATATGTTTAAAATTCAAAATATACAATATCAAATCTGAGAAAGATGTTAAGTTGCACTGTGTGGAGAGGGTCTAGAAATTATTGACAAATTATAGTCAATAATACTTAATATTTTTGCAGGGAAATGTGAATATTTAGGATAAAATCTGCAAATAATTTCAATTAGGATGAAATGACTTAGCTTGAAAATCATGCAAAATATTTGGTATTTAGAAACTTATGGATGGCCAAATTAAAATTATGCCTCAAATTAGGATGGATCAGCTAAACCAGTCACTGGAATGAAGGGAAAATACATTTCAGAGATGAGAACCCAACATATCTTATTTTTGGAAGATATTAATTTTATCTACAATGTGAATGTTGTTGTTTTTTAACTTAGTAAAAATAAAAATAAATGAAAATATATGAATTGATTCATATTTTAAGTAAACTGAGGAACCTATACACATACTAAATACCTTTGTACAATCTCTCTGTAATTCAACTTTTGTCCCTCAAATTTCCACTATCAAATATGGTCACTCCATATATATATATATTTTTAATTTCTAGAAACAGTTCTCCAGTTCTTTCCCTAAGTTCCTTTAATGGCATCTGTCTCAAGACAGTAAGGTGATTTGATCATATTCCCAAAGGTCCATCAGAACCTTCCTGAGGTACTACGGTGTGAGCCAGTGCTTTCAGGGATGCTGGCTGGCACCTGGAGTATGCGATCTTATGAATTTTTGAGGCAACATTTCAAATGCATTATAAAACAATTGTAACTTAGTCTTTGCTTTGATCGAAGAGCACTGACTGCTACTCCGTTTTCTAGTGGCTCACTTAAGTCCCGGGAATCAGGAATGGGCAGGGTGTCCAACATTCATTAGGTCCCTCTAATAATTGCATTTAACAACAATAAAGAAAAATTAATCTGAAACATTTAATGAAAAGAAAACTGACATGGAAGGTGTTAGAGGCCTGATAAAGAAAATAACCTCAACAAAATGTAAAACCTGTACAGCTATTTAGCTTTCCTTCTGATGTGACTTTCCAGTTACATGATTTCTAAGTGACTGTTTTACTCTGCTAAAACAGAGTTAAGGAAGTGTCTTGAATGTCATTGTGAATATGGAAGTAAGCAGGCACTGATGAGCTACACCTTAAAATATCTGTTAGGAGGTATGTAGGGAGAAGCTAAGTATTTCTCCCCAATTTAGATTCTTCCCCTCCCCTGCTACCTGAAGTCTCTGTTGCTGCCAGAAAAATAAATGCCATTAAAGAAAGGACAACTGAGGAGGCACAGAATTGTGTTGCAGTCAACTTGCACATACTAACCAATGGTAAAGTCTTCATAACATTCACCTCTGCATACCCTCTACACAAAAGCAAAAATACATAGTACATTGTGAAGTACATAACGGCCTATAAACACCATTTATATAATGAGAATCTTCCATTTTGTATATGTGTATATATATAAAAAAGAAAAGACCCTTATAATAATAAAATTACTTAATTTTCTTTTTAAAGCAAGGGAAATAAGAGGACACCTTGAAAAGTTGCTCCAAATCTTTTAGATTTGTTCTACTTTGAATAGCAATGAAAAGTAACTGAATTCTATTAGAACATGGGATTAAAAGTAGACTAGAAATAAGAATGAACAATTAGAACTCCTAAAATGGTATTCATTTGGTATTTTTATCAATACTTTTTGTGTATGTACAAAGAGAAAGAAACATAAAAATAAATTCCACAGCAAACTGAAAGCTGTTCTGCGGTAGCTATCATTTCAAAGAGATGTTGTACCACTTTGAAGCTGAAAGCAAAGAGGATAGGGAGAGCAAAGGGGATTGGCCATCTCATTCTAGTCATGATTTTGATACCCCCAGTATAGTAATTTTGTGCGTATCAGATATAAATTTGAAATAGGTGTGAATCTTTATCAGGCATTTCTGTTAGGATATTTAGCTGAGAACTTTCCGCAAGCCATGAATGGACGTTTTTAGCTAAAACTAACTAAATAATGCTAAGGTTTCTAAAAAAAAAAACAAAAAAAAAACAACCAGAAATCACAATCTTAAATGATTTAGAATGCCATTAAATAGTTTGAACATATTACAATATTTACAAATGATTTATGGTAAAAAAGATTCTGCAAGTTTGTATCATACACAAAGTACCTGCACTACTGTTTGACAGGATTAACCCTAATCTCACGCCTGCTAGGAGCGAAGGGGAGGGAAAGCATGGCTCTGCAGTAAATTGCTATTTGGAGGTGAGGAAGCTTTCAGAGCGCCTATCTCCAGCAGGCCACGTTTTCGTACTCCAAATGGAAACTTTAATGTTGCCAGCCAAGCCCTGGTCCCTTTCCTGATAAGCTATTTCTCAAATGTGAATGTAGATTAATCCTCTTTTTAATAAGCATTAACTCAGCCCAGATAATCAGAGTATAAAAATTCCATCCAATCTTTTAGCGGTCCTTGGATAGTTTTGTCAAATAATTTATATTTCAGAAACAGTTTTAAAAGCTATGCTTCAATTGTTTGTTTCACAATTTGCTCACTCATTAATTGTTAATACTTATTGAGTTTCATAAAATCTGTCATCTACAGAGGTAAGAGTCATAAAATAAAATCACCTGTTTAAAAGTAAAATATATATTTATTCCATTAAAAATCTGATGCTTTAAAATTATGAATAAGAAGGTGAGCAACATAAATTTGAAAGAAGTCATGTTAGCTTCATTGGATTCTAATACAGACATGTAAAATACATGAACATATGTTTCATATGATATCTACATATAGAATTATATAGAATACTCATGAAAGCTACATGAATTTTATTTAAATTTATGTTGTTCATTTTTCTATTTATGAACACTGTTTTACATATGATCAAACATTTACTCTAGATTCAAAAAATAACCTAATATTTTCTGCCCAATTCTCTTTATAATCTTATTTCACCTGATACAACTAAGTTGGTAAATTATTATAGTGGTCAGGGATGTCAGGTGCAGTGACAAGGGGACTGTTAGTGCTCAAATGAAGATTAAGATAAATAATATTGCATGTTGCCTGGAAAAACCTAAAATTACTTTATGTAGAATATGAAATCTGAGGATACTTTTTCAAATCTAGATGCCCTTCTTTGCACCACATGCAAACCTGTAGCACATGTTTGCTTTTGAAGAATTAAAATAAAGGATAAAGAGGAAAAAATGAATAGAAAGTTAGTGTTACATTGCCCTGGGGAATTTCTAATTTCTACTATGTAAAGAAGCAAAACATGTTCAGGGAAATGCTCTCAGATCACTTCAAGGTACAAGCTTGCATTTGAATCTTGATAGTTGTCTTTACAAACTAAAGTGTTAAACTGAGAGTGTTCGCGATGAATATGTTAAAGCTGAAAAAATGTCAGTGCTGAGGGGCAGGTTTACTTTCCCTTCCTTCTAGGCACTCACATACAGTTTTCACATGATGGAGAGTCAAAGAAGAGCAGCAATAACAGTCCCTGAATGAGCTTTGCCTAAAAAGGAAGAGGGGAGACATCCTGCAAGAGTAAGAATTTCCAACCTGAAAGGTATTTACATGTCTCCCCACTAGTTAAAATGCCCCCATTCTACCTCTGGTAGAGATGAAGAGACTTGGAAAGGAGTAGGAAAGGGGAGTGAGAAAGTCAAATTCTACCTATAGTGCAATTCTACTCAGATCAGTCCAGTTTCATTAAAATGCATGTTTCTTAATAAGTGTAACACATCAGATATTTAAGTATTGTATAATACCACATCACACATAAGGCTTGAAATAAAGAAAGTATCTTATATTGTAAATTAATTTAAATCAGTATCCAAAATTTTGTCCATTTGGAAAAATTATTTTGTAATCATGAGTCAACAATAAAGTTTTGAGATTATATAGACATTACAATGTAGTGAAAAAGTAGAAATGTTAGGCTTTTCATCTTGCAAGTAAAATCTCATTTTTTCTTGTGAAATTTATGATTTCCAGATAAATGTTTATGAAAATAAAAATATAAACAGAACCATACAGAACTTAGTCAGTATAATTTCATAACACACTTCAGGGAAAAACAGCCCCATGTGAAATCTCTGTGCTCTTAAAATGGATCATTAGCTCATTCATGAAATAACAGAATTTCAACCCATGAAAAAGATATACTCCAATAATCATTCCTATTTAAAATCTCCATATTCTTTACATTGTATAAGGGCAAGCAGTGAACACTTTCACAGGTGGAGGAAAGGCTATTTCTGGAGGAAAATGTGTAGAAAATATCTGCAAGTCGGATATGCAATGCTAGGTACCTGTGGTTTCAATTTTCATTTCCTTCTCACCTACAAGAAAGGAACAGCAGTTGCTGGAAGGCAAATTACTAGTTGAAGGTGAATCCATTCTGAGAGACAGCCATCTATCAATTAAGTATAAAGGTTTTGAAAGGCTGCTTTTGGTTTGGCCTTATTCCAAAATATTTGAAGGGCATATACACCTTCTGAGTTAGCAGTTCTACAAGCAGATGGATATCAATCACTATGAGAAATGATAATAGTAAATGGACTATTCTTGTCAAGCTCAAAGACCAATAGAAATTTTCAAATCAAATACATAGATTTTTGCAAAAACAAAATCAAACGAACAACACAACAAAAACACAACCTGCTATTTAAAAAAAAAAAGAATGAAAATATGTCTGGCATAATTTTACTAAAGCACAACCTACTAATTATGAGAGTTCTACTATTTATGAGGCATGAGAGAAGACTTATGGAGAGTAAAACTACCACACTGCACTGAAGTGACTACTATAGTGCATATTTTTTAATGTTTTCACTAAAGCCAAGCAAAGTAGTCTTTGAATGAAATCTGTTCTTGTATATGTTTTATAAGATTCACTAGTATATGAAGGTATCACAGAGATAAAATGTAACATTGTAAGTGATTAAACACATGGGTTGGCAGTACTTCCAGGAATGAGGGTGGAGTACTGCACTGCAAATCAAGAAGGTACATTAAAGCATCATCCAGGTTCAAGACTGACACTCAGCAGTTACTGCCTGCCACCCCTTTCTGGGAAGAATCATTCACTGGTGTGATGAGTCAGCTCTCAAAGCATAAGCAATCAATAACAAAGAAAGTGGCAGAAAGATAGCCAATCACAAAGCATGGAAGCCCCTTTCCAATGGAGACACTATGATACTTTCTCTAGGGGATTATTCTATCCAGTAACTAATAAACTTCATTTTCATAAGATGTGACCATGGTCCAAAATGTTATAATTAAGTTTAAATTCTATAAAATAACTGACCAGACAAGTGGGAGCTATTTTTTCATTTTCATTATTTAGACATTCTCAGCAGTTTAGAAGTCTACAAACTACAGCAGTTTATAAACTTAATAAGCAATGAAAGCCTTGTTAAATTATTAATTAAGATATTTATGCTTCTTAACAAAGTTATAGAAGATTGAGTAGAATTTCTCAAAAAATTCTAAAGTGTTTGTAGAATGATGTTAAATCAAAATTGTTTGCTTATAAACTCTAAAAGTGTAAAATATTGAGATAATTTCTTTTTTATTTTTGTTAGATAAAATTTTTTTAAATGAATTGCAGACAAAATTGTTATTAAACAAGCTTCAGTACTGAGCCCATTCTTTTAGTCACTGACTTGATCATCCTCCCTCCCTCCATCCCTCCCTCCCTCCCTCCTTTCTCTTTCTCTCATGTTGGAAATATTTTAAAACCCACTATTTTGAAAGCCTTGAAATTCTATTTTGGATTCTAAAACAAAACATCTTTTCAGGCAGATAGAACACATTGGACCTCTTTTTCTTCTGCTGCTTCTTTTGCTTCTCCTTTCTCTTCCTTCTAAAATGCTGATTGGTCACCTTGAATCAAACATCTGTTTAAGTGACTAGTGAATCCTTAATTCATGCATCACCAGTCTTATTAATTCTGTCAAGCCTTTTTTTCCTGAGCATTTTAGTAATCCTCTTGCCTAAAGACAATCTCAAGGAATGGCTTTATAGCATGCAAAGTCTGTATATTTCTATGTTTTGATGAACTAGTTGAGAAAAACGGTTAAGCGTTTATCAGTATGCACTCTCGTTATGCTTCATTGAAAATTCAAGCAAAAAGATTGCCTTATGGTCATAATGTGATATACTGAACAGCAATGCATTAAAGCATGTCGTTTATAATTGCATTTTACAGAAAAGATGTTTAAAACAAGCCAAAAAGATTCATTCATTCACTCGTCTAGTATTCTATCCCATTACATTCTTTCTTTTTTTATTTCAACACATTCATAAAGATAAGAGGTTTTCTTAACTGGAAATAGTCTCTTACCAGCATAATTACTGAGTCCCTTTCTCTTCTTTCTTCGCCAATACAACCAGATGCTAAAACCCATCAAAATTACCCAGCAGGCGCCACCAATACCAGCTATAAAGGCTGGTTGCTTCACAACATCAGTGATTTGCTCAGTTATACTGTTATTGTTTTCAGTAATGACAACTTCATTTCGTCCACCTATGGAAGAAACAATAGTTTCAGTAAATATTAATATAAAAACAAACACAGCAATACATATGATGCTCTAAAACTACACACACAAAAAATAGAAAATTCATTTGAAAGCAAGTAATATTGGTTGTGTCCTAAACCTGTCACAATTATTGATAAGAATATTTTATGTTACAGAAGAATAATCAAATCATGAGCTTGAAATGTGATTAAAAACATTGCAAATCAGTAAAGAAAACAATTAATTTAAACAAAACAAAACCCACATTGCTCTCTTATGGTTGGTTTACTATTATGAATAAATTCAGAACTGCTTCTCGATTTACCACCTTATAGATGAGTACTAAAATAATTACGAGGGGTTGAAATAATGGCAACTTTTCTTCAGTTAGGTAAAGAGTCTTTTAATGTAGTCTCATACAATAAAAAATGCAGCTGCCACATTCAGCACAAGGTCTTTAAATTCTCTTTCCTTTACAGGATGGTCCAAATTCAAATGTTCATGATTCAAAAATATGAAACTTAATATTGTCTTTAATATCATACCAAAAAACTTATTTTGGTCAACTACTTAATTTTCAGGAATGTATAAAATCAATGCAATGAATAAAACAATGGCAATTATGTAAACATCCTTTCATAAAGATTAGTATTTATAATTAAAAAGTTATGAAAATATAAAATTTGTATATATTACCATAAAATATATGATACTACCTTGAAAATCCACTTAAAAGTTGAACTCAAAGGACAACTTGAAACTTAATTCTAAGGTCTGCATAATTAAAGCATATACTTAAACTTGGACTAAGATTATTCTAGAAGTAGTCATGTTTCTGATAAACTAGACCTCTCAGAGATAATTTTAAAAGTCTTAATCCACATTTTTAAATAGGCATAATCATAATATCATTGAAGAACAAATATGTAGGTATTTAACAGATTAAGAAGTTTAAACACGGAGAATTAAGTGATTTTTCTTTTTTAAGGTTTTATTTTAATAGCTTTATTGGTGCATAATAAACATATAATAAGCTGACATATATAAAGAAGTAATTTAATTGTTTTGATATATGCATACTGGTGTGAAACCATTACTACTACAAGATAATGAGTATATATATCCTTTAGTCTCCAAAGTTTCCTCCTGCCCATTTATGATCCCTCCCTTCAACCCTTCAACCTCTCCTAAATCCCAGGCAACAACTGGTCTGTCACTGTAGATTATCTTTATTTCTTACATTTTTATATACATGGAATTATACAGTATGTACTCTGTATTATCTGGCTTTCACTCAGCACAATTGTTTTGAGATTCAAAACAATGTTGCTGTGTATAGATTATTCTTTTTTGTTACTAAGAGGTATTCCACTTGTGGTGTGTAAATTCTACAACTTGGAATCAGATGTTCATATAAAGACTAATACATGAATATCCATAATAGCTTTGTTTGTGATAGCCTAAACTGATTCCAGTGTCAATACTATACCTTATTAGTGACTAATCAAGTACTATTTATAAGTAAATTATAATCCAAATATAAATGGCAAATTTTAGCATATCTCATCAAAGGAATGTGCAATTTTTATTAGTTATCATGGCACTGAAATATATTAGAAAGATCATGGACTTTGAGGCTCTGTATTTGAATACCATCTCTGCTACTTAGTAGCTAAGTAAGCAGTGAGCTTATGCAGGGCACTTAAACTTTTTGAGAACCAGTTTTTGTTCGTTGACAATAGTGCCTTCTATTTGTGAGGGATGTTTAGATGCTGTATGTAAAAAGGTTAATAGAAACACAGTAGTTTGTGACTCAAAATTATGGCCTACTTAAAGTTAAGGTTTATTTTAAGAGCCACTCAGGTAACTTCAAGGACGTAAGTTATAAACTGTCTAGACATAAGAGTCCTGCAAACTCATTTACTGCAGTTTCTCTTTCATTTCAAGTAAGAAAATCAACCCACATCACCCAGACGGCCTTATATATAGTTGAGTGTAACAAAGTGAATGAGTATTGGCCAATGGTACATGGGCACAAGTGATGCATGCTACCTTCAGACTTGACCCATATGTTGTGACAATTTTTAGGGGACACCGTCTCCCTAAGAGATGGTGGAGCTATTGACTGGAAAGACTAAAATTTACTGAATAACTGTATAAAAATCTGCTACCCCATTTTAGACTGGGTTATAAATAAGAAAGAAACTTGTCTTTTGTTAAGCCAATCAGAATGCAGGCTTCTTTTTTATAGCAGCTAGCCTTTTTTATATGTACTTATATTTTATTTCTAAAATGTCTTTTGAGTTTAATTTTTAAGACAAAAGACAGATTCACTTATGTAGTTAGTAAACCTGATTCATTTTCTCAATCTATCTGCCCTTAATTGTTTTATATATAAACATAGTCAAAATGTATTTAAAATGAGTTCATATTTTTAATGTGAGATATAGATATATCTGGTGATATTTTTAGCTACTAAAGAGAAAATAATATCTCACAGAACAGAGAGAAAAGAACATTTCTTCATTTGTATAAAAGGTTAATAAAATGTCATATTTAATATAGTGCAATATTTGTTACCACAGGTGTTTACTCTTATGCTGGGGATATTTTTGAAAAAATGTTGTCAGTTGCACTAATTAAAGCATAGACAAGATTGTTGTGTGTGACCTGTAATGTTCCATTGTTCTTGCAGACAAAAAATATGAAATATTATGTCTTCTATTGGAGAATAATGAAGTACAAAACTAATTTGTTTCACTAAAAATTAACTAGACACATCAGATTCAAGAGTACCTATTATTGTGAGTTTACACCTGTTTCATATATTATTATCAACTGTGTAAGGTAAGTGTGAAATGACCAAATGATTAAAAAATACTAGCTACATTATAAAGCACAATTACTAAAAATTTTAAGTCAATGTCAATTTTTTATAAGGCATACTGTTGGATGCTTATGTATATAAATGCATTTGGTAGCATTTGTGTGTTTGTGAGTGCACCATAGTTATGGAACTATGGACACATGGATGTAAAAGTGATCTTATGTGAAAGCTACATAACAAAAGACCAATTTTACTTTTAAGCCTGTGTAAGACTGTTTATTATATTTACACAACATTTTAATTAATGGCCTCTTAATGGAACTTTCTGGAATGAATACTAAACTGAGAAGGAATAGATGAAACTGTACATGGTCTGGCATAAGACAAATCTAAATTTATCAGCTATAAATTACATCAAATGTCAATACATGACTTAATTAAAGCCAAGAGGAAATGAGTTAGGGCTTGAGTAACTTCAAGTGCTGTTTCCAGTGCTGCATGGACAATAGGGGAAGCATAAATTGAAACAGAACAGGAAGTTAGACATCACTGAGTCACTTTTCAACCAAGGAATAACAGTTGTGCAGATAAGATTATCTGACAAGATGTTAAAGTAGCTATGCAACGGTAATTAAAAAAGCAATTAAGGGCTTTTTAGTACAACAGTAATTATTAAAAAGAAATAAGTCTTTTGGAGACAAAGAGCCTTTTCTGGGTTGAATTTTGCTTGCTGTGTGTGTGTGTGTGTGTGTGAATATATATGTGCATGTATATTCATTTCAAGTGGGAAAATATTCCATTTTATGTGATTACAATTTGAATATTGAATATTCTACCTATTGAATGAGAGATTATTTTTTAATCTCCTAAATGAGATTATTTTTATTTCATAGAAAGATTCTAAGACCATTGCATGATACACAAAACTATAAATTAAAAGGTACTCATTTTGTATTTAAAGACTTAGTCCTCTTAAAATAATATGAGTTAAGCAAAGCTTTCCCTTTGATTTAAAATAATCATAATTCACCTTATTGTTTTCAGTTCCTATACAATTGTTCATTTGTTAACTGTCATGACATGAACATGGTAAAATGATGTTGCAATTATTTACTTGCCTCCCAGTGTTATAAATCCCTAAAATATTGGGGAGCAAACAGGGAGTAACTATAAAACAATAATAAAACTTTTCATGCTTGAAAATATTTATAACTAAAGATCATCCTATATAATAAAGAGGTAATATGCAAATTGACTCTCATACCCTCACAAATGGTTGCCTATGACCAGGCTGGCAGTAGGATTAGTGAGGGACAACCAAATGACTGAACAGCAGGCTGCATGGGGTGACCAGGCTGGCAGGGGGAGGGTAGTTGGGGGTGACCAGGCTGGCAGGGGGAGGGTAGTTGGGGGTGACCAGGCTGGCAGGGGGAGGGTAGTTGGGGGTGACCAGGCCAGCAGGGGGGGCAGTTGGGATGACCAGGCCAGCAGGGGGGGCGGGGCAATAATGTAACTGTGTCTAGAACAAAATCACCACTGTTAGAAGATAACAAAATTTTGTAGTATGTCACCTGCAATGTCCAGTGTACAGTAAAAAATTAGCAGGTACAGAAAAACAAGCAAAATATTGACACAATACTAGAAAAAGGAAACCTAAGGTCAAGAGAGAAATTAGTGGACATATACTATTAGGTGATACAAAGGTTGAAACTAGCGGGGAAGGACTTGAAAGTAGCTACTATAATATGTTCATGAACTTAATCCTATCTAATAAAGAGTGAATATGCAAATTGACCATCACACCATAAAAATGGCTTTGCCCACAGTAGAGGCATGGATTCCATAACATAAGATGGCTGTGCAGAGGTGAGGATACAGTAACACAAGATGGCTGTGCCCACAATGAAGACTGAATTCCCATAATGAGCCTCAATGAAAAATCATCAGGGACCTGAGGCTGTGCCCCTGCATAGTGGGGCTTGACAGGGGACCTCAAGCTGCACCCCCGCCCCAGCACCAGGCCAGAGGACCTCAGGCTGCACACACACCCCCACCCCCGCCACCTGACAGGGCTTGACAGGGGACTGCAGGCTTTGTCCCTTCCCCTAGCACTGGGCAAGGGGACCTGAGGCCACATCCCCCCACCTGGTGGGACAAATCTTAGAGTAACCATAAAAA